GCTGGCTCAGCTCAGGTCCAGGTCATACACGAGTCAGACTACCCCTGGCATCTTGCTGCGTTCCTTCTGAGACGCTGGAATCTTGTTAGGGACGGATCAGGAAAGGTTGTAACAGCAAGGGGTGGGTTGATTAGTGTGAAAATGATGCAGGTGAAATTTGTTGTAGCGACAATTCGAGCAAATTATTGTTTTATTTTGGTCTCTTCGTTTTGATTGCTTGGTTGTTGACTGTCAGTTTGTTTGTCTTTTGCTTCATGTGGCGATGAGTATAGTATGACCCAGGGCCCCATGTATCTCTTAAATGGATGGTCCCTTGAAATCAGTTTGGGAAAACTTACTTTTGTAGCTAAAAGGAACGGGTTGAAGTTTTGTTGTTAAAAAGCACGTACTAGTACTTTCATCCACCAAAATGATCTTCACCAAATTGATGAGGCACAAGATGAAATGTTTCTCATTATTTATTTTCATAATGAAACCATTTAGGGTATTTAATGGAACCTCTGGAACAAACGTGTAAAAATACAAAAGTGTTTGTTACGTGCAATGTAGGTCTCTATGTATGACGTTCTCAATGGGTATACGTAGTATCATCAACGATATATAGCAGCAAAACAAATCGGTATCGCCATGTCATATCATGTCTCATCTTATAGCAATCCTGGAATAATTTATATCATATACAGTCATTCAATATTACTAATCATACAAATACACTAACTTGCTGTATATCATCTTTACATGTATATTAAAGTACTAAGTACTTTAGGAAGTAGTTTGAAACCGATATACAGTTACAAAACTGTAAGCATATCACAGATAAAATAAAGAACAACAAACGTCTATGTGCGTGGATGATAATGATAAATACATGGTAAATATGAGTAAGTTTACAGAACTAAATAGATACATATGAATATAACGTAACATGTTATGAATGGAAAACAGAAAACTACCAAACGAGACAAAGGCTACATGTCAAAACAAGATAAGATAATTTAGATTGCAATTTAATATTGGCAAGTAAATGAATAAATAACTATTATAACTAAACACTGTACCGAAGTACTTGCATGGTGTATAGTATTTTGTCCCGAGATTGCCTCCTTGCAACTTTTCCCGACTCGCAATTTTCGTGTATACTAACTGTTAGTACTATATTGTATATTGTACTGTCCTCTGTCATGCGTGACAGGAACTTGTGGAGACAATACATGGTGTCACCTGATTAGGATGAACTGAACTATATTGTATCAAGTGGTCGTATATCCCACACAAAGTGATATGGCATTTTCCCAAATCAGACGACTTTGGAAGTAGTTCGTTTTCTTTTCTTTTTGTGTCTTTAAAGATATTGCTTGTGTAGTGCTATAGCAATCAACGAAACATTTTTGGATACCATGCAAAGGGATATAAGAAAAGAATGGATTGAAGTTTCCCTTTACTGCTCCCACATTCCTTCGAATATTCTATATTTAATTTCTATATACAATTTAGAAACGTTTACAACTTTACAGCCGGGTGGATTCCATGACTTGCTCTGTAACAAAGCCGGGATTGTCGATCTCAATCCTTTCCTCGTTTTCCTCTCTTTCCGCACCTTTCTTTTTGCAGCATCCCGTAAAAATCCTATCGTAGGGCTCAAGTGAGTGTAGGGCGAGGGGGAGGAAGTCCCACGTGCGCAGTTTCTTCGGAAGCCAGTTGGGGCGTTTTGTTTGTAATATGTTGACGACAACAACGACCAAAGCGAAGGCCAGGAGTGGCACCCCAACCCCCACAAGAGCCTCCCACCCCGCGACAGACAGTCCGAAAATTGCCGCCGGTAAGAGGAAGAACATCAGAATGAGATAGACGATGGCAAACCAGCGGTACTTTGCTGTCGTGTTGCCGAGCTTCTTGGCCAAACCGATGGGAACGTTCCTGAGAGGCGGTAGCGGGTACCACAGGATGATCCCGGACACGTTGAAGAAGAAGTGACACAGCGCCAGTTGGAGAGACCTGACCAGACCGTCTCCGGAAGATGCCAGCGCGGCCAGGATGGCGGTGGTGGTGGTGCCGATGTTGGCTCCGAGGGTCAGAGGGTACGCCCGTTTGAGGTTGACCACGCCGATCGCGATGAGAGGGGTGAGGGCTGAGGTGAAGATGGAGCTACTCTGGACCAGGAACGTCATCCCGGCACCGAGAATGATGATCAGATACCTGTGAAACAAACATAACAGATAAGACAACATGCCATATATGAACAAGAACTTGCAGGCAACATGACGCGTCTTCTATGCTGTGATAGAAGATGTCATTGCTCACAATGGTCTGATCCTTGCACTCCATCATAAAGCTCTCTTAGAGATCAGTAGATTTACCATCAAAAATTGAGTCATCTGTTACTATTACTACTTCAGAATCTACTGATATGACTGCCAAATATATGGAAAACAGGGCATTATATAATGTCTCCCATAACATTACAGAATCAACCAATGTATGAAAAGCAGATCCGCACAGATAGATGAGCGGATCTCATATCATATTTACCCGGTCAGGTACTTCCCCACTTTGGTGGGCAGTTCTGCGTGCACGGCCTTTTTGATGACCTTGGCCAGTGCTCCCTTCAGGATGCTGTGGAGAAGTTTGACGATACAGGCGAGACAGACGCACAGGATGAGCAGCGCCGCCACCAGCAGGATCACTCCCACCAGGGTGTCGTTCCACAGGTTCACCTGTGCGAACAGGTACTGACCTGAAACAACGAACAGTTTAAACGCTTTAGGAAAATTGTGTACGGCGAACACAAGATCAAATTGGATAAAGAATAACATCTTAGGCGATCTTCTATTCAATGTCGTTTTTCCTTCATTTAATTTCAGGAAATGGTCCTTTGGAAAAGACTTTTAGCGAATGCAAATTGTAGATGTTTATCATCAAAATTCAAAACTTACTCATCGTTAATCGTACTTTGGGGAGTATGCATCTAATGCATGTATGTATGCATGTATGTGTGCATTCAGTGTTATTTTCGTAATCAATGTTAGGCAATGGTATTTGAGTCGTAACCGGAATGGTTTCTTACATTGATGCTTCCACGCGCTGGTGGTGACGTTTTCTGTGATGGTCCAGTTGTAGGTACCGTTGCTGAAGAATGTTACCTAACAAACAGGCAGACAGAAATATGCTTGCGTTAACAAATCATCGTCAAAGGTCTCATGTTAAGACAAACCAAAAACATGCCTTGATATGACCTGAAGAAGTACCTCAGCAAATGGTCAAACTATCTCTTAGACGGTCTCCTTGAAACAAAAAAAGCAAATTCTTCAGCTGTGGTCTACAGGAAACATGTGCTTACCTGCTCCTCTGTTGTGTTGACCAGCACCAGAGGACCAGTCTTGCAGTACCGCTTCAGCAGGCTCAGCTCTGCAGCACCCTCCTGGTTCTGAGCGATGTCGGTGATGACTCCCTTGTCAATCTGAAATGTAGTTTACATGTGCCATTATGTCAACTGTGTATCTCATAAACTGCAGAAGTTTATAGAGAAACTAAAAATTGGATATTATACAAAAAAATGAGAGGGAGGGGAACGATGACAAAGAAATGAACAAAGAAAACATACAGATTTATGCTGATTGTTAGTTCTAACCATACTTATAGAGAGTTAGGTTAACTGGCATTCATTCACCCAATGTTGAAGACAAACAAAAGTGGAGGGAGAAAAATGTCAGTGTACTCACCTCTACAATCAGCTTAGTGAAGGGCTCGGTGATGACCTTCAGCAGCTTGATCTCACCGACTCCGGTAAAGTGGAAGGAGTCTACGATGGCGGTCGACAGTCGGAAGAGGTAGTGGGACGCAGCCTGGAGGCACGACATAATGTTTATCCATAACCATTCGTGAAAGATTTGACGATATTCTGTCACAAGTCGTGTACAATTGACGCTTCCTCTTTGATTTGATATGTTTACCGAAGGAAAAATATAGATTTTGCTCTGTTTCCAGCCTTCTTCTTCTTCTCCATAGCAATAAGGTCAATGACCTGAACCAGATAGTCTATCACCATGGTAACTGGTGTTGGGCTACATCATGTTGCAATTTTATAGCAGGAGGGATTCAGACTCCTGTCTGGCCATATATATGAATGTGTTGAGTAAGAATGAACAGCAGACCATATGCGAAGGTAAACATTATGCATTTGCTTTGCGAATGTTACCTTCCTAGTTGTGACTACCCTCCCATGTCGACATTACATTATCGCTTTTCGTCGAAAGAATTACTCCAAAGATTATATCAACAAGTATTATAATCTATACATCTGGCGTTCGGTCATCGATCACTCACCTCCAGTGGAAGGAGAACAATCACACAGAGCCAGTTGAACATGTCGTGTATCGTGGCCCCAGCGAACGCCCTGCGGAACTCGTTCCTGTCGCCAGAGTGGCCCAGGGACACGATGGTGTTGGTGACCGAAGTTCCGATGTTGGACCCCATGATGATGTAGATGGACTGTTCCACCTCCAATACTACGTAGTAGAGCAAACAATGATATCAGTTGTGTTAAATGGTAACAGTAGTTACCTTCGCCAAGAAGGTTATGTTTTGAGAGGTGTATGTGTGTGTGTGTGTATGTGTGTGTATGTGTGTTTGTGTGTGTGTGTCTGTGGACACGATAACTTGAGAAGGCTTAGATGGATGATACTTGGTAGGTGGGTCGGGGAACTCTAGTTGTATCTGTTCCAGTTTCAGCCGACTTATCGCATTTGCAACACAGTAATACAAAAGGCATTCTATCTCTGAGTGGGGACAGTTGACAAGTTTGCGAGGAAGTTCTGAAAAGGACTTCGTGAAGCTACAGAGGACACTTACTTCCGGCGCCGACCATGGACACCACGATGGAGGTTGAGGTTGATGAGCTCTGCACCAGAACCGTCACCAGAACTCCGATCATCAGACCGCAGACAGGGTTCCTCAACAACTCGTTCTGAGCAAACAGCTCGCCGGCAGCTTTACCACCTGGGGAATAAAATCATTTATTATGTTTACCGAAGGAAACATATTGTTTTTGCTCTCTTTCTTCTTCTTCTCCGAACCAATAAGTTCAATGACCTGAACCAGATGTCTGTCACCATAACTAGTGTTGGGTTACGTCATGTTGCAATTTTGTAGCAGGAGGGATTTAGACCATATACCACTAGTACTTTATATGAAACAGAGCAGACTATATGCGAAGGTAAACATTATGTATTTGCTTTGCAAAAGTTACCTTTCTAGTCTATTTATTAGTATGTTTGAGAGCACGACTTCAAAAGCAAAAAATACACATTAGGCCACAGCGAGTAATTTTTATGGATGACATCCGCAAGCGCATTAATTCTCGCCTGATTTTGGGGGGAAAACAAGAAGTTGTCTTGCCCTCTGACGGTGGTCAACATGCTGAAAATGTTGTAAATGCCTATCGGTCCTCGTTTAACTAGGCTATATATGACCTCAAATTTATAAATGAAAGAATCTTGTTTTCTTGCCCACCTTGTTTTTTTCGCCCTATCGCATTAGATTTGGAGTCTGCGGAGGATATCGTCCATAAAATTTACTTGCTGTGGCCTTATTCTGATGTTCGTATGCACCCAAGCAAATGCTTTATTGTTCTGAAGATACAGAAAGTCCGCTAGCTTACCCAAGAGTCTGAAGGCGCTGCTGAGGAAGTCCAGTGAACAGATGAACATGTAGAGCAGCCCGAGGAGCAGGACCGGCTTCAGGAACCACAGAACCACGCGCTCCACCTTCCCACAGCCCGTCAGTTCTACAAACACAAGGAAATGCCAGTCAGACATATCATAACATGAAAGTTCATCTTTGTTGGTACAAATCATTATGGAATAAAGACACCACTACAACGTTATAATGGTAAACCCATGCCACATACTTGATCATACTGGGTGAGGCTGATGGACACCGTCCTATGCATTGGCTAATACCTTTGTGGCATCATCTGTGTTTCGATGGATGATAGGCCTCAATAAGGGACGGCCGAGAAACTAATGCTTCGGTCACATTTTCAACCCGGGGCCCGAGCGGGCTGTTTCGATTACTAGTAACGAAAAATCAACAACTTATATCAATAATATACGCAAATAGTTCCCATTGCCAATTGTTTCAACTTCTTTGCGCTTTGTTGTCGTTTATATCATACTTTTCGTTCCATAAGACTGCCAGCCAGGGCCCCGCTTTTTTGGAAAAAGTTTTCAAAGAACTTGACTTGAACGATGTGCTAACGTTAAATTTAGAAAAAATTGATTTCTCGTCTTTCACACAGGCTAGAATCTGTTTTAACTATTCGGTCAAATGTGCGCATTTCATTTTATTCCTGCTGTTCCCGTTTCTAAGTCAAAAAGGAATGTGTAATTACAACAAACGCGGCACATTATCGTCTGAAGCATTAAGGTACTGCGGCCACGCGCCGTCAGAGGTTGTTCGACAACACACCAGCCTGTAAGTCTGTACAAAGTTCACCCGTGCTGTACCTGTACAAAGTTCACCCTTTCCTGCGTTCCTATTGGCTAGTATGGACTGAATGAAGAGTGAGTGTTTTCTGCGTGATTGGTCAGCATATTTGAAACAATACATGCGCACTGTTGTATCGGTTACCTCAATTGAGGTGTCAATACTTTGCCTAGAACGATATCGCTGACAAAGCAATACATAGCGAGGCCTTGTGTCGTCAAACGCCCCAAAAGCATCGCCATTGCCCTATAATACGGATATATGCAGTGAAGATAAGTTATGGGTATTCAATGTACAATTGACTGACTGAAATTTAAGAGAATGTACGTGTGCGACAAGCAACCCGAACAAAGTCTCTTATATGTTAGTTATATCAGAGGACGAAATAGATCCGAAGGCAATGCTTTCCGCCAGTGTTTTACTTTTCCTTACTGTCTGGTACATGGTACGACATGAGTCGTAATGTAAATATTGAAAAACTGAAATGGACTTAGGGTACATTGATTAATATCAAATTATTACAAGATTTTCAGCGCCGGTAAACAGGTCATTATTTGACCTGTGCCATGGCCCTTTTTTGGCTTTATTTGACGTTTGCGCAGGTGCGCTGACCCATGTCTGACACCTATTGCCTCTTCAGAGCAACGGCAAACACTCCAGACAACTTGGTTTGATAAGTCTGAGATGATATATCAATGTGGACAATGACACAACGGTCAGGTGATAGAATCCTTGGCCTTAATCGGTCAGATCCTTGGCCTCAATCGGTCAGATCAAATTTATGAACCGTTTCACCTGACAATCTTCCCTTGCGCTTTCTAGGTCTTGTGGACAGGTCATTGTCCTGCCCCATGGTCCTTTTTTTTACTATATATGGCGTTTGCAAAGTCGTGCTGACCCGAATCTGACGCTTCAGGCTTGTCTCGTCAAAGTTTAAGCAAACAACTTGGTTTTATTACTTTAAGACTATATTTATAGCGAAGCACCCAGGTAAGCAGACGATAGAATCCTTCACCTTAGACAGTCAGATCACATTTACGTAACATGTTACAGATAAGAGTTGAGAGCCGCAAATGTTTGGAGCGGAGAAACTAATGAAATAGACCTGTCAGCGGACAGTTTTACAACCAGTGCAAACCAGTTTTTGGTGGTGCATACAGGTTTTACAGGTGCATACTTCCTCCACGTGATGTAGGAGTGGAGCGCACGTGAACGAAGGAAGGTGCCATTATTTCTTGAACACCGGGAAAATGTTGCCTCACAAACTTTTTTTCTGGTGTAAAAGTGTATTTGCTAACGCATGAAAATTCACTTGCAAGCGGACTATTTGATATTCTGGACTGCATGCTGTTTTTTCTGTTGTGTTTGTCGCGTTTATCAACTTTACGCCCATTTCCCGGTGCCTAACCCTACGTTGTTTGCAGTATGGCGACCACTGGTATGTTGGTCACTGGAAGTCACTCATGCGCGCATAGCAGCAGTCAGCCCGTCTGTTTGTTCTGCTTTGTGCCACAGCAAACATGCTCACGAGCTATATACAACCCTGCCACCACATATCGCACACAGAAGTGTTTGCCTTTGTCTTTCCAGGTAAAAGCGCCAAAATCTTGGCGCGCTATACGGCAACCTTGCCATTCCTTACGATACTGGGTACGAAGTGTATCAGATCGGTTACAGTTCACACAAAAATGTTCAATATTTAAACTAACGTACGCCGCCGCAGATTTCTCGTTACCAGCGCTATCTCTAGCTGCTGTGATGACTGTACTGGGGAGTTCAGTCATTGACAAATGTATGCCGAAGAACTATGTACAAGTAAGACTACGAACATTACCAATCGAATTTCGTCACATATATATTTTAAATATACATTCAAATCCATGAAAAACCATGTGGCCCGCAGACATCTCCAAACACAGGTGAAGGTGAACATGACAAGAGGACCCCAGAAAGCGTCTACCGGTGGCCTGGCCAATCTTCATTGGTTTGCTTAAAACTTTTCTGGTCACTGGGATCTTACAGCGACCGCAACCCACATGTAAACACAACGAAGAGGGTTCTTTCCAATTTGTCTTCCCGATGGTAATGAGTCTTACAATCGGATGCGAGTATCAACCATAATGATGAGGTCACATTTCCCACACGGGGGCCGGCCGGGCAGCTTTTGGGAACGAAAACTACGACACAAAAGACAACAAAACTCATAAAAGCTCTTAATAACAATCATGGGCTCTATTTCTATATATTCTGGATATGAATCGTTAATTTTCGTTCATACAAACAGCCCGACCGGGCCCCGGTCTGGAAATGTGACCTGAGCATAAGCCATCGTTGACAGGTATTTTGGTCCTTCTTAGCCTTTAACTTAAATCTATTTATAGGATCCGATGAAACATATGTCGAGAGAATTGCTAGAGGTTAAAAAGAACGTATTTCACGCACTGGCCCAAGCAGTTTGTACTGAAAACCATATTGGACTGAAAACATGCTGTACAATCGACCTGTGCCAAATTGCCAATTTAATCGTCAACTTCATAAAAATTTAACTGAAGGAAAAATGACGAATGACGGCCTCCCCTCTATTTCCCGAACAAGCTGTAAAATGCAGTTGAGGGACGGCTGAGAAATCGGCACTTACCGGACCAAGGGACGGTGTCATCCTTCAAATCAGGGACATTCCACGGGTCGAACTCTTCTTCCTCAACGATCTTTGTCTTGTCGTCCCCGTCAACGACAATGGCCACTTCATTTTCCTGAAAAGAAGAAGAAAAGCAAAACATGAAAAAAAATGTAAACAAATTGATGACTTGGTTAATTGTTTAGAAAGGCTGTACGAACCTCGGAAGCTACACACCGCAATTTCAATTTCCAAGCACAAATCGAGATTTATTAATATCAAAACAGTATATCACGCCCTGCTCCCAAAAATTGCTTGAAACAATATCTGTCTTGAAACGTATTAGTTGTTGATCAACTTTTTCCTACAGTGTGCATCTAGGACCTTCAGGCTGCAGGACTGAACATCACCACCGCCTGGGTGGCAACCAGAGACAGGCAGACCTGGAGGGCCGTATGCAGAGGGGCTATGCCCCCTGAAGGGGCATGCGGAGCTGAGTGAGTGAGTGAGTGAGTGAGTGAGTGAGTGAGTGAGTGAGTGAGTGAGTGAGTGAGTGAGTGAGTGAGTGAGTGAGTGAGTGAGTGAGTGAGTGAGTGAGTGAGTGAGTGAGTGAGTGCATCCAGAGATAAAGTACTCACGGTGTACACTGGAGGCTGCTCCTTGCTTCTTTTGTCGGTGCCTTTCCCCATGACGAAACAGCCAGAGCCACTACAGTGCTTCTAGTAGAACTAACGCAAGTCTAGAAAAAAGGGCACAAGAAAACAGTTACTCAAGGAACTCGATAGATTTTTATGACTGTTAAACCTCTAAAGTACCATCCGTTGTCTTGGCCTTTGAGACCAAGACCAAGCTAAGAGAAGGTGTGACAGTATAGAGAGTAAAAAAAAAATGATCAAGACAAAGTGTGGATTTCGCGGGACATTTCTAGAGATCAAAGCTGTTGTTTGGGAAACCATATCTACCTGAAAAACTAGAATCTAAATCAACAAGTTGCCAAGTAAAAATGCATAGCAATGCTCTTTGGGCACAAAAAAACGCCCCGTCTTCATTAACATAGAAACAAATGGATAGATTTTAAGCTATTTTGATAATTTGTAGACTGTTACTAAACGTCCGTACTATACTCACCTGTTCTCTGCCAGACACTGTGCTGGGCGGGAGACTGCGTGCCGCTATATGCAAACACAGAGAGGCTCCTGCACGCGTCATTAGAGGGAACACTGGGCCTGTCACCCCGCCTCCATCCATGGGCTTCACGTGGAGGCAGAGTGTGGCGGGGGTGGACAAAAGGTGCGTCTGAAATACAGGTGTGCTATTGGTCCGCGCCAACTCGGCTGACACTGTGAATTGACGTTACGTGTACTTTGCCCCCGAGTTGCCCTGTCCCTCTGACTAACATATTATAAGCGCGTTGGGAGAACTGCTCGTGTCCTGGATTGCACTCAAAGACTTCATTACCACCACCGCCAGACTTTGCACAGGTGAATAGGTGAAACGCCACGGTTGACAAATAAAATAACAGAACAATGGACTTGTTTGCAAACAAGCTATATTTCAAATAGTTTGGTCACTTCTTAGATGGTCAATTTTGGAAGGCTTCAGGGCCAGCTGATGCAATTCTCTTTTTCCTTGATTGACTACGTTGCTATACAAGCAATTGAAAATGAACAAGTCTGGAATTTGGGGAACATCGGAACATTAGACGGCAAATGAACAAGAACGTTATTTCTTCATTCCCGTATTAAAGTATGCCTACTGTACAGTATTCACTTCACTAGCAACAAGAAGACTGTGCGTACTTGCACCTAGTAGAGGTCCACATGTAAACTTCTAAGTTCACCTGTTCACCTTATGCAAAAATAGGTTCTAGGGGATACTAGTTGTAGCCGATAAAACTCATTGAAATGAAAAAAAAAGGTTGCACTTTTGAAAATCTAAGCGTTCTAACTGGTCTAGACCAGTTGCAGAGACAGTTTGAACAGGTGCACACGTCATGCACGTGATGCCGGTGTGTAGCTCTCGTGAACGTCGGAACGTACCATCTCACCAATGGGGTACGAGTAGTTTAAACCTTTCCCCAGTGACATCAATGCATTACTTTATATAACGTTATATGGCGCTCTCTCTCTTTTTTTATAGTCCTTTGTTATTCTGCATGTCACTTTAGCAATCGATGGCGACAAAAAAAGAACTAAATGGCGTTACCTACCAGTGCGAGCTGCCAATCCAATGTTGGCGGGAAAACGGTCTAACCGACTGATTGTTGTGTGAGGGCCACAGTTAGAGACTAGCTGGACATCATTTGCCAACGTTGAAGCAACCACTGTTTGCTCAGCTTTGTGTGGGCTGCTGCCGAAGCAAATACATGTAGATTCCTGTGGTTTACAGCTTCGTTACAATTAGCCACGAGTTAAGTGTTCGTTTTGACATCGCCGAATTAATCGAAGATCCTAAATCTTGCTCCCTTGCTAGCAAACAGCGAGCATTGTTGACAGAAACGGTAGACGGTGCTTGTTCATTTTAATCGATCTAAAAAAAAGGAACCAAACCGCATTGCTATTCAATATATACATACTTGATTAGCATGGTCCGATGGAAGCGAACACGTAATGGTTCAAATGTTTAATTTATTATTATACAGTTCTGAGACAAATATGATATATACAAGTTACATGCCATATATATTTACATAACATGGTAAGTGCATTTACCAGTTTTTTTCCTAATATTTTACTATTTACATAAAATTTACAATTTCGTTATTTCAAGTTCTATTTCCCAAACGAAGCCTGGATTGTCGATTTCCATTTTTTCCTCATTGGTCTGTTTTTGTGCTTCATTCTTCTTGCAGCAGCCAGTCAGAAGCCGATCATAAGGTTCAAGTGAGTGCATAGCAAGGGGAAGGAATTCCCACGTCCGGAGTTTCTTAGGAAGCCAGTTGGGACGTTTTCTTTGCATTATGTTGACGACAGTGATAATCAAAACCAAAAACAGCAGTGGCGCACCAACCCCCACAAGAGCCTCCCACCCCGCGACAGACAGTCCGAAAATTGCCGCCGGTAAGAGGAAGAACATCAGAATGAGATAGACGATGGCAAACCAGCGGTACTTTGCCGTCGTGTTGCCGAGCTTCTTGGCCAAACCGATGGGAACGTTCCTGAGAGGCGGTAGCGGGTACCACAGGATGATCCCGGACACGTTGAAGAAGAAGTGACACAGCGCCAGTTGGAGTGACCTGACCAGACCGTCTCCGGAAGATGCCAGCGCGGCCAGGATGGCGGTGGTGGTGGTGCCGATGTTGGCTCCGAGGGTCAGAGGGTACGCCCGCTTGAGGTTGATCACGCCGACCGCGACTAGAGGGGTGAGGGCTGAGGTGAAGATGGAGCTACTCTGGACCAGGAACGTCATCCCAGCGCCGATCAGGATAACCAGATACCTGCAGACGGGTGGAATATACATGAAATCATGCTGCAAAACGTATGAAATCACGGTGATGAAATATTTTTATTTATTTATTTATTTGGCTTACAAAGAAGCCAGGGTGTCCCAACTAGTCAGAGACTATTATTAAGGGACACCCTGGGGAGTAGGAAGAAACGTTATACATACATAAAAATACATATTACAATCCAAATACAATAAGAATAATATGTGCTTACAATTATGAAATACATATTGGTGATGAAATACTATCCTCGCAATGGACCAGAATGTTTCATTTAGATTTTATACTAATACAAGAGGGAAAAAAAGAGAAAAAAGAGAAAAATTATCTTTAGTGATGGATACCTATGCTCAAACACTAGTTCGCAGAGTTCCAAAAACCGTTCTGTTAAACTCAATGTTTGGCTCTGGCTCATTGAAGCCAAAAAGATTTCTGCGAAATGTTTATATTATTGGCAAAGTGAATTTCAATGGTGATAGAACCAATCAATTTTTTTTATTATATTCCAACATGTAGTCACAAGACGTTGTGACGGCACACTCAAGTTATTTCAACTTATATTAATGCCGCCACTTGCACAGGGGACAATACAGTACTCATTTTCACCTGAGCGAAGTGAGGAAAGTCGTGTAAAGTGCCTTTCCCAAGGGCACAAGATCGGTGACATGTCAGGACTCGAACCCGGGACCTCTTGGTTCCGAGTCGAGCACTCTGTTGTTACGCCACAGGACCCCACCAATCAATTGACAGCATCGATATAAATCGGACAGCCTACCCTGTCAAACATTTCCCCGCCTTGGTGGGCAGTTCTGCGTTGACTGCTTTTTTGATGACTCTGGCCAGCTGACCCTTGAGGATGCTGTGGAGAAGTTTGACGATGCAGGCGAGACAGACGCACAGGATGAGCAGCGCCGCCACCAGCAGGATCACTCCCACCAGGGTGTCGTTCCACAGGTTCACCTGCGCGAACAGGTACTGACCTGAAAAAACAAAGTTCAAACGCTTTAGCAAAATTGTGTACAGCGAACACATATCTAGTCGGGTGAAGCGATTCCACGATGTTGTGTTTCAGATGAGTCTGGTTATTATTGCTATCAAGTCTGACAATATGCTTCTGAAATATGCATTTGCTTGCACAAACCACATCATAGTGCGTGGTACTTTAAGGCTAGTTACAGTCACAAACTAATAGTAATAAGAGAACAGAAGGTTAAGTTTGTGGGCTATGAATAGAGTCTTTCTTACATTGATGCTTCCATTCACTGGTGGTGGCGTTTTCTGTGCCGTTGTAGTTGTAGGTACCGTTGCTGAAGAAAGCCACCTAAGAAACGAACGCAGAGAGACAATGTATAAGCATTTGCCAGCACAAGTTCGTAGGTGATTATTAAATCTTGATCCGTTTTAAATTTGTTTTCCTATCAGACTAAGAATCTGTTACTATGTTTACAGAAGGAAGACATATTGTTTTTGCATTGTTTCCTTCTCCAAACCAATAAGGTCAATGACTTGAACCAGACATCGGTCACCATGGTAGCTAGTGTTGGGTTACATCATGTTGCAGTTTTATAGCAGGAGGGATTTAGACTCCTGTCTGGTCATATCGTATATGAATGTGTTTGAGTAAGAATTAACAGAGCAGACCATATGAGAAGGTAAACATAATGCAGTTGCTTTGCAAGTGTTACGTTTCTAGTTGATTCTTGTGCTTACCTGCTCTTGTGTTGTGTTGACCAACACGAGCGGGCCAGTCTTGCAGTACCGCCTCAGTAGACTCAGGTCCTCCGCACCTTCTTCGTTCTTAGCGATCTCAGTGATGACATCCTTATCAATCTGAAACATTGATATTAGTTTTAGATAAACCTTACTCATGCATCTAATAGGAAGACAGCTTTCATCACATAGTATCTAAATTCAGGATGTACTTTTGAGTACGAAAGTTCAATAAAAAATCCTCCTTTCTTCCACCAATTGTCACAATTTTTGTCACAATTTTCTATGCTTGCAAGGCAGTGCAATTGAAACATGTACATAGACTTCTAAGATGTGAGTCTTTATGTATCAAAGATTGTACGAACCTCCACGATCAGCTTGGTGAAGGGCTCGGTGATGACCTTCAGCAGCTTGATCTCGCCGACCTCGCTTAGAGAGAAGGTGTTGATGATGGCAGACGACAGGCGAAGGAGATACTTAGACGCCATCTGAAAGATAAGATACAACAGTTCGTCAATCAGTCTTTCAGCGTTTTGGTAGCACCTTCGATATAACAGTTACAAAGTAACCAGTTTGATTTATTGAAGTTGCATCAGTGCAATACACGTGGGACACAGGTAGCTGTTGCTGGTGTTGTGTCCCACACGAAGAAACGAATACTGCACAGACAATACTCATTTTCACTTGAGTTTAGTGGGAAAGTCGTGTAAAATGCTTTCCCAAGGGCACAAGATCGGTGGTATATCAGGACTCGAACCAGGGACCAATTGGTTCCAAGTCGAGCACGTTGCCGTTGCACCACACGACCCCGCAAAGTAACCAGTTGGACGCATTTCAATTCAAATTGCTTACAGGAGCCTCTGTTGCTATTGACATAAATATCTGCAGCCAAACACCGCTTTGCGCAACCACCCCATCTCCCACAATAGAGGCATGTTAAACATTACCCACCTCCAATGGCAGGAGAACGATCACACAGAGCCAGTTGAACATATCAAGGATCGTGGCCCCAGCAAACGCCCTGCGGAACTCGTTCCTGTCGCCAGAGTGGCCCAGGGACACGATGGTGTTGGTGACCGAAGTTCCGATGTTGGACCCCATGATGATGTACACACTCTGTTCCACGTCCAGTACTGTACACAAAAATACATGTTGCTGAAAACGGTAACACTAACTCTTCTATAACGAATTTAAAAGTATGGCCACAGCACTGTTATTTGCAAAAAAACTGTCGACCAGAGTGGAACCATTTAACACTTACTTCCGGCGCCGACCATGGACACCACGATGGAGGTTGAGGTTGAGGAGCTCTGTACCAGTACAGTTGCCAGAACTCCGATCATCAGACCGCAAACAGGGTTCCTCAGCAACTCGTTCTGGGAAAACACCTGGCCAGCTGCCTTTCCACCTTCAGGGACATAAATTGGATTTTTTTTAAACGTGACAATGGCATTTGACTTCACAATTTGTAGTAGACTGGTGGTAGCTTCACAAATTCTGTACATATACACTGCTAAAGATCTGGCAAGCGATGGTTACACTACCTATCTGTGAAAACTGTGGCCATGGTAGAAATTCGACAGCTGCGATCACTCTTTTTTTTACTTGAGTCTGTTGGCGAGCATCCTAACACGAAGATTTTGTCGATTCTATTCCAATGTCTAACCAATAGTGTGCGTAGCTTACCCAAGAGTCTGAAGGCGCTGCTGAGGAAGTCCAGTGAACAGATGAACATGTAGAGCAGCCCAAGGAGAAGGACCGGCTTCAGGAACCACAGAACCACGTGCTCCACCTTTCCACAGCCCGTCAGGTCTACACACACAAGGGTAACCAAAGCTTATCACACGAATGTTTCAATGTTTGCAATGCAACTTACTAAACGGTAAAGTACCTCCTTCCGATCGCGAGCAGCACAAGTGACCTCAAATCAAACAAAAACTTTATACCAACTTTCTTGTCTTAGTTATTGAGGGGAATGGGAGGATCAGTGTTTATCTGTAAACGAGATTTGTTGTCCGAATCCCTCAAACGATAGAAGTGCCAGCCAAGCCTGACTGTTCTAACAACGTGTCCGTACAAAGTTCAAATCTCCGACATTTTCATTGGTCACCTAAGTTGTCACGTACCTGACGTCAGCGGGCATGCCTGTAGTGCCTGAATTCAAAAACGTCGACGTCGTGACTCTCTAAGCTCTTAACTAGTACATATATTTGACTCTTTCTAGAGCACGCCAGTTTCGCAGCAGTAGGTTATATTACACTAAACGACCTGTCACACCTAACTTTTGCCCATCTAACTGCAAGCCATGTTTAAAGCTAGAATTTAGCTAAAATGACCCTGCTTTATAAAGCTCTCCCACCACATTGTGTTACATTGTATAAATGACGATGAGAAAACGGCCCTTACCAGACCAGGGGACGGTGTCGTCCTTCAGCTCAGGGACATTCCACGGGTCGAACTCTTCTTCCTCTGCCATCTTGGCCTTTTCTTCCCCTTTCACGACAATGACCACCTCGTTTTTCTGGTAAAATAATCATGGAAAATTGTTCATTACACACGGTACAAGAAAAATAAAAAAAGTAATGCGAACATCACAATAACTTCGATTCATACGCTGTCCTGTTACCGGACTGGAATACCATGATCACCAATAATCGACAATGTGTTGAGTGGCATGGCAATGCATTGTGTGTCCCTAATGTTTCTGTACTGAATGTTTAAGTATATGACAGGTGGCAGCATACTCACAGCAATGCCGGCGTTACATATGGCGGGCCGCTTCTGACTCATGTTGTTCTTGCTTTGTCCCATCTTCGTTAGTTGAGAATGATTGAACTAAACACAAACCAAAATTTAGTTACAAACACGATTACAATCTGGCGGGCAGAAACAGAATGACTTCTTTTCAATAGGTAACTATTTTTGGAAACAAACGGTACATACATGTAGAAATCCATCGAAAACTCATAGAACAACTTCTATAACGAATATCATAAGACGCATGAATGAAAATCTTAAGTGACATGTCTATCTATCAAGGTCGACACAATTCACAATTCAAAATCCTCTTACCCCAAAAGGCCCACTTCGTTGACCGTTACTTGCTCCCGCCCTGCAGCAGTGAAGAATGGGCGCGCTAGTAACAATGTGCCGGGTTTGCCTTGCCGGCTTTTCATGGTCTTCACGTGAAGAGAGAGTGGTGTAGGAGTGGATATAGGTGTGTCCACAATCAAGGCACGTGATTGGTCGACCTGAAAATCACGGAGGATTTCGACCCAGACTTACGTCAGACGTTACTTCAACTGAGTGCGAACTACGGGCGAACAGGAGGTGACGTGTTCCTGTCGTCAAGTAGTACAAAAAGCGTCACCAGCAGCGCTAATCGTTTCTTTATTACAGGTTATAACGTCACCTGCCAGCACTATAAGAGCCTTTTCTTTCATTTGGGATGTCGTGTGACTTCATTGTCCACATAAAAGTACACTAAAATCATATAATAACTCAGAAGTTTCAGACGCATGGATGAAGGGAACATGTAACGACAGCACGTGAACTATCCATAACCTGCGCCTTTATTGCTACAGTAAGCAGAGAAGTAAAAGTATTGTACAAACAATATGTAACTCATTGCAACACCCTTTGTAAGCCATTGTTCCCAATATTTTTTTCTGTCAGGCAAGCCATTGAGGCAGCCATAGTGCACTACCTGTAACCTGTCAGTCTACCTGGGGCTAGTGAAGCTTGCTAGGAAAATACATGTTATATTTTCAGAGGCGGTGGCTTATTTTGTAGGTTTCAAGGGTTTTACATACAAAGTTCGTTCGTACACCTCCCTCCCCCATGTTTTATCATGAACGCACAAGAACGTAATAAAATCAGACAACGAAGTCACACCTCTACGATTGCATGCATTTTTATGAGATTACGTCTAGGAGTATACTGATATACCGTTGAAAAACCTAATCACAAAGCTCTCCTTGTTGACAAGTTTATTTGTAGGACGTGAGCTATAAGACTAAGTATTCTACCTCTTCTCGTTTGCCTGCGGTTCCGTTTGTAACCCTCTTTATTGCCACACGATTCAAAATGTCTGGATTCGCCAAGCGGTACAGTTTCAGGAGCGGGAAGGTTCACGACGAGTCCTGTAAGTTCTACAACGGCGCCCCGCTCGCCATCGCGGCGTGCTGCGTTCTCTTCTGTCTCGGGATCGGGCTGATCATCGGATTTGAGACAGGCAGAGGTGGAGGACAGGTCAGACCGTGGCAACAGGTGGGGCAATTTTGCAGATTTCCATTGTCAAGTTTAACCATGCATGAAAACCATGTTTTATCACACAGAGTGATGATGTAAGATATAAATGTCGAATTCTTTTTCATCACAGGTGCTGTCTTTCTAATATCGATACTTGATAACGTTGGTATTGTTTAGGTAGTGGCAGTGATAACGTATAAGGTTAACTGGTTACTTGATGGCAAGGCAATTCTTTAAGCATTACATCGATCGTCATAAAGTGTTAGTCCTGTTAGACAGGAGCATCGTCGCTTCTACTCTACGTCTTAGTACTTCTTCTTCTCCATTGTGTTTTTTCTTTAAATTTCATTTAATTGTGTTGTATTTTCAAATAAAGTATTCAAAATAAACTACAATACGTTTTTAGTAGATAAATACTACAATTCTTTAAAACACTGCTGTTAGTGCTCTGTCCCCTGTATAATGGTACGGTCAAAAAAGTGGTCGGTTATTCTAATAACCGACCAATTTTGAGGTTACGGCTGATAACCAATGGGAAATAGAGCCTTCTGATTGGTCGACGTGTTCTGGCTATATGGTAAAGTTTAATGTCGCCCTTACCCTTTTTTCAATAATCAGGTCCGACTTCCGGAGTCGCTATTACCCATTCACTATGACGTAGAGCTGCGTGTTGACGTGACGGCGTTCACCGTGGTGGGACAGGTGAACGTCACGCTCAGGTGTGCCACGCCCACCAGGTACGTCATCCTACACGCCGCTGAGCTGGACATCGTGGACGGGGACGCCGCGCCAGGTATTCGGGGCGAAGGTGATGTCGTCACCACCACGAGAATTACCTCCTGGTTTCTCTATGAAGGTACATCTACTTTAGCTTGGGTAACATCCGGATTTTGGCTCCGCAACGATGATTTTTTCGAGCGTTGCGGAGCCCAAATCCGGATGGTACCCAGTCTACATCTACTTCTACAGATCCGGTCTTTCCCTGTCAACGGTTTTCATGGCTATCTACATGTAGATATCCACAAAGGTTATGTTTTTGGTAGCGTTTGTTTCTTTGTAGGTACATGTATGTATGTGTGGTTTAGCACAATAACTGAAGAAGTAGAGCAATACGTAATCAGAAATAAAAGGTAATCTAAACGTGCCTCTGAGCTTACTATGGAGGTTAACATTGTAATCTATCGCTGTGTTGACAGAAAACCAGTTCCTTGTTCTGGAGCTAGATTCGGAACTGACAAAGGGCGCCGTCTATACCGTCAGCCTCAACTTCAGAGGGACGCTGAGAGACGGACTGGTCGGGTTCTACCGGTCTTCGTATGTCAACAAGGACGGACAAACAAGGTGCCGTAGTCTGATATGTAAATCTTTGTGTTTAAGAAATACTCTTATATATATATTTGAAATGTTGGAAAACATCCAGCGCTAACATGGTGATAGAATGTAAAAACTATGTCAAAATTAATGGTGTTGTACCCAGCTGTTACATAATCGGGTGTCTCATGGGATTTACAAAAGGCTTAGACATTTGATAAAATGCCCATAAAGGCAGTAACGGGTATATGGCATTCATATTGCGACAAACAACTGTTTCCACAGATATCTGGCCACGACTCAGATGCAGCCGATGGGAGCCCGGCTGGCGTTCCCGTGTTTTGACGAGCCCGCCTTCAAGGCCACGTTCACGGTGACCCTGGTACACCGGGCCGGGTACACGGCCCTCGCCAACATGCCGCTGGAAAACAACGTGACCAGGTCAACTCATGGTTTCTTCTTTCTCGGGGTATTCTCTTTGTGGTGGGGTTTGGGCTACAATAACATGCATTTTGAATTGATAAAGAAGGGTGTTATTGGTCGTTCATATGTTTATGTAATCTACGAAGAGGTCAGAGTAGAGCTAACTGGGACATGCTGTTTACTATAATAGAAGTTCAGAAATGTCCATTGCTGACCCATACGTCCATGACAATAATGTAACCTTACAGATTTCAATCTATAGCAAAGCACATCACAAAAAATACAAAAACAAGTCTATATATTTTCCCACATCAACTATGTCAATATATATATTG